GAAAGTTTTAAGTTTGTATATCTGAAAGTACTTACGTACTAAGAAACCACAAGGCAAGTGTGTGAGTTTCTAAATATTTGAATTACCAAAGGATTTTTCATTGATTTTCTAGAGAGCAAATTCACCTCAAGCATTTATAAAATCTCAATTTAGCCAGTAAATTTTTAGTACTTATCTTCAGTAAAGCAAAACATGAATTTTTGTAGTGAATCCTATATATATATATATTTATTTATTCTTTATTAGAGACTGATAATATTTTTTTCTTTTCACATTTGGAAAAGTTAGTGCTTATATATTATAAAACACATATCGATCTCATGTTCTGAATTGTAATTTTAGCTTTATTGGGCTATTTATGGATAACATTTTTATGAATATACATCATTCTAGAAACTCACCTTTTAATTTTGTTGGTAATTGTTTGGCTACCTGAGGGCCAGGGCATGGTGGTTGTTTTTTTCCCCTAAAATACCTAAGAAAGAATGTTACAATTTTATGTGCTATTAAAAAGAAAAGCACTTGGCAAGAAAAAGAAAAATGAACTAGTGGTGCATGCTACAACATAGATGAACTTGAAAAAAGTATCCAAGTAAAGGAAACCAGTCACAAAAGACCACATGCTGTGTGATTCCATTATATGAAACGCCCACAGTAGACATACTCTCAGAGAAAGAAAGCAGATTAATGGTCTACAGCAGGGGGGCTAGGAGGGAGATGGGAATGAGGAGTGACGCTAAAGGGGACAGGGTTTCTTTTGAGGGGTGATAAAAATGTTCTAAATAGTCTAAAACTGTGACAATGATTATGTGATGGTTGAACTCTGAATATATTAAAAACCACTAAATTGTACATCTTAAATTGGGGAATATTATGTTATGCAAATTATATCTCAATAGAGCTCTTAAAAAAGAAAACATTGGATCAAAACTGAATACTTTGGTTTACCTCCCAAGTTGCTTTATTCAGTACAGTTTATTGTCTTAGGTTGAAAGAATTATGTAAAAAACAAGATCTTATAACTAAAATTAAGTTGTATAGTATTTTGGTTTGGGGGGGTTTGGGGCAGAAGTATACACTTGTGCTTTTGTTTAGTCTTATTCTCTTAATTTGTGTAACTCATTTTATAATATGTATTGTGCTTTGAGTTTAATTATTTGAATGCATAAATAAAAATGGAAGTAGTATCTCTTACCTACTTCAGATACAAGACAACATTGCAATATGTCATAGCTTGGGCAGTCGTCTACCTTGTGGTGATTTTTGTTTTATGTGTTGCAGGGAAGGAGACTGGTGGGAAGCTAGATCAATTGCTACAGGAAAGAATGGTTACATCCCTAGCAATTATGTCGCGCCTGCAGATTCCATTCAGGCAGAAGAGTATGTCACTACTTCATATTTTATTAATTCTTTTGATTTTAAAAATGTTCTAATGCACATTCTACTTAGCCACAAATTTATACACATAGAATTACATACCGTCTTAATACAGCTAATGTATCATATTAATAGATGTTACTTCAGAATTAATATTTAATGTCATAGTATCCACTTAGAGTAGAATCATAAATGTATCTGCATCAGTCATTCTGCCTTATGCCTAGTCTCCCTCCATTGTTTTTCTACTCAAAAAAAAAAAAAAAAAGAAGATTAACCCTTTTGATATTTTGCAGACTCTCACTTCAAAAATTTACCTTGAGTTAGTAGTATTGTATCAGCATTAACTTCTCGATTTAGGCACTTGCATTGTGCTTATGTACGAGAGTATCTTTGTCTTTTAAGAAGTACACACTGGGCTTGGTGCCTGTAGTGCAGTGGTTAGGGCGCTGGCCACATACACCAGGGCTGGTGGGTTCGAACCCAGCCTGGGCCTGCTAAACAACAATGACAGCTACAACAACAGCAACAAAATAGCCGGGCACCTGTAGTCCCAGCTACTTGGGAGGCTGAGGCAAGAGAATCACTTAAGCCCAAGAGTTTGAGATTGCTATGAGCTGTGACACCAGGGCACTCTACTAAGGGTGACATAGTGAGATTCTGTCTCAAAACAAAACAAAAAAAAATACTACAGTATTTGATGTGTTAATTCAGCTTGTTTGCAACTTACAGTCAGTTCAAGAAAAAATATACAGACACCACCTGTGGCTCAAAGGAGTAGGGCACCGGCCCCATATGCCAGAGGTGGCAGGTTCAAACCTAGCCCTAGCCAAAAAAAGAAAAAATATACATGAACACACCTACATAGTATATATATGGAGAGACAGAGACAGAGAGAATGACAAAGGAAAATTCTAACAGGTACCCTCCTTATGGGGAATATGGGAGTTTCTATTTTTAGAACTTTTAGAAAGTCAAAGTTTACTTTTAACGACATATTTCTTTCAGGTCAAACCAGTTTATCTGGGATGCATAAGTGCCATTTCATTTTTATAGCACATCACTTAACACAGTGTCTTGCATGTAGTAAGTAGGTGCTCCATCAATGTTCATTTGCTCTTATTAATGATAATTTTTTCCGTAACTGTTCTACTATGGTGCTTGTTACTTTCTTGTCTTCTCCAGTATTCCATGAGCTCTTCCATAGCAGAGACTGTCGTTTTTATTCACAAAACTTTATTAATCATACCCACCCAATTTTAAGAGTTTCTAATAGTTTGGATATGGTGTACTTGGATCTTACTGAATACAGATGATCACAGTGTTACCAAAGAACCACTTTTGTTCTTGCTATTATAGTCTTAGTATTTCCATTTGTCGCTGACAGAAAGGATCCCTCTGTTATTTGAATGCCTTTCCTTCTTCGTTCTCTGTTCCTGTGAGTGCCAGGTAGAACTTTGAGAGTCCTGTCGAGTAGTCCATACATGGAAATACTGTGAGAATACATTCTAGCAGTGATAGTTGCAATATTCCTATTTAATAACAATCTCTAGTTATGTTTTACTATATTTTAAACTGTGTTCTATAGCTGTTCTTTCTCATCGCCCTGTGCCACTCCATTTTTATTGATACTTGGGTATAATTTTTCTGCCCACTATTTTCAGTTCAAAACACTGTTAATTTTTTTCCAGATGGTATTTTGGCAAAATGGGAAGAAAAGATGCTGAAAGATTACTTCTGAATCCTGGGAATCAACGAGGTATTTTCTTAGTAAGAGAGAGTGAAACTACTAAAGGTATGAATATTGTTATATTAATATAACAATAATGGTAAAAATTTATTGTCATTATTTTAAGAAAGCTATACTAACTATGTATCCATTTTCTCTCCCAGGTGCTTATTCCCTTTCCATTCGTGATTGGGATGAGCTAAGAGGCGACAATGTAAAACACTACAAAATTAGGAAACTTGACAATGGCGGATACTATATCACAACCAGAGCACAGTTTGAAACTCTGCAGAAATTAGTGAAACACTATACAGGTAGGTGAATATTTCAAAGGTAAAAATTACTTCCTCGTGTTCTGTTTTATGAGGACAAAGGCTGCCCTAAGAGCCCTCCCCCTTCTTCTCAGTGCTCATGTCCCAGTCCCTGCTTAAAGTCTCCTAACTCTGCCACTTGGATGATATGCCACAATCAGACCATCATTATTTGAGTCCTTTTCTCAGTAGTATAGTGTTTACATTAAAATTCCATTTCCTAACATATAAATACCAAGATAGATTATGAAAAATAAATCACTGCAAAAGCAAATACTTTATTTATGAGCACTTACTATATTGGTAAAACTAAATACCTAACATAGAAAGCTATGCCAGATTTTTTTTTTTTTAATTTCCTTTGCCTGCATGGGCTGAAATCACCTGAGATTTCCAAATGTGAAATTTGGTCTGAAAATACAATTCCTTATTCTGTAAAATTAACTTACAGCAACTACAGACATTCTTGTCTTTTTTTTTTTTAGACAGAGTCTCACTATGTCGCCCTTGGTAGAGTGCTGTGGCATCACAGCTCACAGCAACCTCAGACTCCTGGGCTTAAGCAATTCTCTTGCCTCAGCCTCCCAAGTAGCTGGGACCAGAGGTGCCACCACAGCACCCAGCTGTTTTTTTGTTGCAGTTGTTTAGCTGGCCTGGGCCAGGTTCAAACCCACCACCCTTGGTGTATGTGGCTGGCCCTGTAACCACTGTGCTATAGGCGCTGAGCCAATACTCTTACCTTTCAAGGACCTCTGAAAAGTATTTAATATTAGCCTTTTATCTCAAAAATTTTCATTACCAATTTGATATATGAATGAATCTGTAAGTCTTTAAATGATTAATAAGAAGGGAGGGAAGTTTCCATGGTGATTTCTTCTTCAATGAGAGCTAGCTGCAAACCGAGTCTGTCAAGTCAGCCAGCAATCTTCACCTTGATGAAACATGCCATCAAGCAGGAGTGTCCCTTGTAATTGCCTTTGTTAGAATGTGCATTTATGTAGTTACTTAGAATGGGAGGGAATGTGGCTCATTTACAATAAGAAAGATTGTATAAGCAAGGATTCACAAGTCCAGCCATCATGAATCTGGGGTCACCAGCCTTTGTGTCTCCCTTATTTAAAAATCAGTCTCCTATGTGAACTTTTTTCTAGATTTTTGGTGTGCCTCTTACAGATTAGTTGTTGTTAATGTAACAGTTAATGACAGCATTCATTTTGGGAATAAATATAGCCCAGTGGTGTAGAATTTAGGAGACAGACAGTCTTGGGGTTCACTCCCATCTCCATCACTTACTAACTGTGAGACCTTGGGAAAGTTGTATACATTTTCCAAGCTTCATTTATATGAGATATCTGTAAAGTGCTGCATTAGCATAATAACCAGAATGTAAGTATTTATTAAATAATAACTTCAAACTGTATTGTTAAGTTACTTACATATACTTTGTTTTGCTTGCACACAATTCTCTTTTTCTGTTTGTTTTTAGAGTAAAATTGATAGAACATTATGTTTTTCTTTTTCTGCAATTCATTATTTATTTGTTTCTTTTTGAGATAGTCTTATTCTGTCACACTGGGTAGAGTGCTATGACATAATAGCTCACAGCAATCTCAAACTCTTCAGTTCAAGGGATCCTCTTGCCTCAGCCTCCCAAGTAGCTGGGACTATAGGTGCCTACCACAATGCCCAGCTAGTTCTTCTATTTTTACTAGAGGCGAGGTCTCACTTTTGCTCAGGCTGAGCTCAAGCAATCCACCTGCCTCAGCCTCCCAGAATTCTAGGATTATAGGCATGAGCCACCGCATGCAGTTAACTTTTTAAAACATTGATACACCCCATCTCTGAAAAAAAAAAAAAA